TCTTCGTAACTAAACATGCACTACTGCCTTGTTAATCTCCAGATCCACCACCAGAGGGCACCCCATCCATTCCCGACAGTAGTTGACAGTTGCAACATTTATTCCACCCATCTCAATTACAAAAGGCCCACAAATATTTGTGTTTGTGTTTATTGCATTTATATACAACCTTTTCTCCCAAGCAGCTCAAGGTGGTTCTCCTCTCCTCCTTTTATCCTCACAACAACCCTGTGAGGGAAGACAGTGACTGGCCCAAGACCACCCAGGGAGTTTCATGGCTGAGTAAGGATCCGAACCCTGATCTCCCAAGTCACAGTCCAACATGCTAACCATTACACCACACTGGCGGGCAATGACAGGCAGTCAAATTGTGTACTTGACCAAACCCTGACTGCCTCCACCAACCTCATATCCAAAGTCCAATCAACCGGGAATAACTCTCCATAGGTCCCAATAAGGGAAGAATGGTTACGGAAACTAATGGAGTACAGTGGTACCTCGCAAGACGAATGCCTCGCAAGACGGAAAACTCGCAAGATGAAAGGGTTTTTTGTTTTTTGAGCTGCTTCGCAAGACGATTTTCCCTATGGGCTTGCAAGTTTGTTTCCTTTTTCTTAACACCGTTAATACAGTTGCGACTTGACTTCGAGGAGCAACTCATAGCACGCGGTGTGGTAGCCTTTTTTGAGGTTTTTGAAGACTTTGGTGATTTTTGAAGCTTTTCCAAAACTTTTCCAACACCGTGCTTCGCAAGACGAAAAAAATCGCAAGACCACAAAACTCACGGATCGAATTAATTTCGTCTTGCGAGGCACCACTGTATGCAGAAATGGCGAAACTTACCAAAAGCGTAAGAAATCAAGATAACAATTTTTTTTAGAAAGGAATGGAAATGGTTTATTGAGTATATACAAATAAACTGTAAACAGATCAAGACACTGACAGGATTATTGTAAAAACCTGCAGTTTCAAGACTATATGAGAGAATAGACGAGTAAAAGAATAAGTTAAGAAAATTTGGAGCATGCAGGAAAGGATGAAAATGAATGTAAAGAACCGCAGAAAGAGGAGGAAGGGAGTCGAAGTTGGAAATGTTAAAGTTATGGTTAAATAATTGTTCTGATTTATATAAATGAAAATTATAAACAAAATTATATTTAAAAAGAAAGTAAGTCTCCATATACCCCTCCAGACTGGAGAAGAGAATAGGAACCAATCCCTGTCATGCCCAGCACTGCTATTTCCAGAAAGGAAAATAATGTTCCCCACGGCAATTAAATCTGTGCCCCTCTTACACGATTACCTCCTTCAAGACAAACAAACAAGCAGGCAGAGTAGAAGGCTGCTGTGCCACCAATATTTCTACCCAGACTTCTTTCTGCCGGCTCACTTGCTGCTTTGGAGCTATCTAGTATTTAGGCTGACCTCAGTCAACCCTGTTCCAACATTAAATGCACCCATTTTCTCCTTCATCTAACGGAATCCTCATCTCTTCTCTCCCCTTCAACCATAATTCCCAAATAGGGAGCAAAAAGGGAAACTGGATACTAGGCCATGAGAAGCCCCAGTCTTTGATCCACCACTTACGGAGAATATAACCCTATCAATTACCTTTAGCACCACTTTCCTATCTGCCCCCTCTGTGAAAACTGAACTCCATACCCAAAAACGCAACTAAAGAGGTAAAGGAGAGCCTGGCCACTGTAACATCATGCATTGATAAACTCAAGATTGGGCTACTGTAATACATTCTATGCCTGCAAAGTGGTTCTAGAAGCTGCAGGTACTTACAAAATATGGCAGGTGGGCCATACTGGGGTTTCCTACTGCTCATGTGTTGCCGCAGATGGCTTGGTAACAGTGTTAGAAACTCAGATATATAATCTAATTGCCAAATGGCGCTTTAAATCTAGGTTATGTTTGCAGCAATGGAACATCTAGGCGCATATTATAATTATTTTGCAATGGAGTTTATTCTTCTTCTTCTTTTCATTTCATTTCTATACCACTTTATACTTTAAAGAACAAATCTCAAAAGTGGTTTACAACACATTAAAATACCAAATAAAACAATCCAGAATAAAACAAATTCAAGCTTCAGGGGAAATATTTCAGATCCTTCTCTAAGTGACATTTTGCTTTCCTCAGTCGCCAGAACTGGCATCCAGAGATCCCCACGTGGTCGCAATCGGACCCACACCAGTTGCAAAATGGGCCTGCCACCTGGCTAATTTCTAGCACTGTTTGGTAAGCCAGTCACTGAGGCTTGGTAAACCTCATGAGCTCTGCAGGCCAGAGGACTCCCACACCTGCTAGTAGAGGTTCAATTGGCAGTGGCCTGGTGGAGGTCTTTTTCTGCGGTGGCACCCTCTTTATGGAACGGCCTCCCATCTGATCTCAGGCAGGCACCAACCCTCATGACATTTCAGCACCTACTAAAAATGTATATTTTCAGGCCTTCACCCATGTGATTCCAGAAGATTGTTAGATTTTAATTTTGCCCTGGATTATCAGCGGCATTCTTATTTTTGATCTGATTGATCTTAATGCTGATATTACATCTAAAAATTATGTATACAGGACCGATGTGGTAGGTGGCACTGAAATTTCAAAATAAAAAAATAAGAGCCTGAAATGTGGAATCTTCCCTCAGCCACAAACTCGTGGAGTCTCTAATCTTACACACGTCTTCCTGCGATGAAGTCCCTCTTAATTCCACAGGATTTACTTCTCTTTCGTCATGCTTGTGGATGCAGCACACGTGAACTTAAGTAGGCTGCTGTTTTCAGCCTCACCTCCACTCCTGCAATACTGAGATAATCATACAGTGGTACCATAAAGGACTCTTGTAAAGTACTTTGAGGATTACGCAGGGCTAAATAAATACTACAGTGTGAAATAAATGCTAGTCCAGGAATGCATAACTACACCCCTTCTCTGTCATCTTTATAACAACCCCTTTCCCCCCTTCTGGTAGGCACCTGGTTGGCCACTGTGATAGCAGGATGCTGGACTAGATGGGTCACTGGCCTGATCCAGCCACCTCTTTGTATGTTCTTATGTAAGACAACTCCAGCCCTTCACTCCATGAGCTTGACAGACCCATGTGCCACCTCCACATAGACAACCACGTAGCGATCCTACTCCCCCCCCCCTACATTCAATATTAGTCAAGTGACAACAACCCACCTAGGCATCACTCTCTTACTATGACAATCTTATGGCCCTCCCCACCCACCCACGTCTTACCATAACAACTCCATGGTACACCAGTGTCCACTACTCTAGTCACCTCGCTCTCCAGAACACCATATGCCCCCCAATCAACTGAAGCCCCATGGCCATATCATGCCACCACTATAACAACCAACTTGGGGTGTCTCCCCAGGGAAGCTCGCAAAAACATTCGTCTTCTCCCAGGCTTTTGGCTGATGAAACAATCTACAGCCTTTAAAACTGTATGTGTGTTTGTTTGTCACTGTGGTATGCCTTTTGTGGTTTTTATACTGTAGATGACCCTGTGATTCTCGGATGAAGGGCGGTGTAGAAATTCAGTAAGTAAATAAATGAACAGCAAACCCCACAGCCCTCCTCTGCCTCCCATACTGCAACAACCCCCCGCCCTGCCCCCCCATATTTATTATTATTATTGAATTTATATTCCACCCTATACCTGCAGGTTTCAGGGCAGTTTACAGAATAAAATCAGTATATAAAACCACAAAATACATAACCAAAACAACACAACCCAATAACCCCCCAACACATTTTAAAAGGGCATAACTGAAAACAGTTAAAAAACTAAAAAAAAACACACAAAACAAATTAAAAGCAATTTAAAAGAAGAAGTGCCCTCCAGTCCCAAGCTGCATCCTGACACCTCTATGCCCACCCCATCTCCACGTCCCCCAAATATCTGCTCCAGCCCCAAAGCCACGTTGTGCCAGCCCCACGCTCCACCTACCTAACTCCAGCCCCACATCTACACCGTGCCACTATGACAACCCCAAGGCCCTCCTCTGCCCCTCACACTATGACAACCCCACACACCCCATATCCGCTCCAGCCCCATGGCCGATTTCCTGACACCTCTATGCCCACCCCATATCCACTCCAGTCCCAAAGCCATGTCGTGTCAGCCCCACGCTCCCCCTACCTAACTCCAGCCCCACAGCTACTCCGTGCCACTATGATAACCCCAAGGCCCTCTTCTGCCCCTCACACTAGGACAACCCCACACACCCCATATCCGCTGCAGCCCCACTGCCACGTCATGACACCTCCATGCCAAACCCACAGCCACATCCCCCAAATATCCACTCCAGCCCCAAAGCCATGGTGTGCCAACCCCATGCTCCCCCCATCTATTCTAGCACATTACAACTACCACACGCCCCACACATATCCGCTCCAGCCCCATGGCCACATCCTGACAGCTCTATGCCCACTCCAGCTCCACGTCCCCCAAATATTTGCTCCAGTCCCAAAGCCACGTCATGCCAACCCCACGCTCCCCCTACCTAACTCCAGCCCCACAGCTACCCCGTGCCACTATGATAACCCCAAGGTCCTCCTCTGCCCCCACACACCCCCACACTCCCCCCACCCCATATCCGCTCCAGCCCCATGGCCGCATCCTGACACCTCTATGCCCACCCCATATCTGCTCCAGTCCCAAGGCCATGTCGTGCCAGCCCCACGCTCCCCCTACTTAACTCCAGCCCCACAGCTACCCTGTGCCACTATGATAACCCCAAGGCCCTCCTCTGCCCCCACACCCCCCACTCCCCCCACACCCCATATCCGCTCCAGCCCCATTTCCACGTCGCGACGCCTCCACGCCAACCCCACAGCCACTTCCCCCATATCCGCTGCAGCCCCACGGCCCCCTCCCCCAGGATCACCTCACGTGCGCCCCCATTCCTTCCTCCCCCCCTTGACAGCCCCGTCGCCATGGCGACCCCCTCGCGCCCCCTCCCCCCCCCGCGGCCGTTACTCACAGAGCTCGCAGTAGCGCCGGCAGCCTCGGCCCAGCGAGTGCAGGTACCTCTGGAGGACGTCGGTGAGGAGGTCGCAGGCGGAGAGCTGCACGGCGTCCCAGCCCAGCGCCTGGCACACCTGCGCCGTCGACACGCGCAGCAGCCAGCGCGAGTAGCTCTCGCACATCCTCACGGCCCCGCAGCCATGGCCTTCCCCCTCACGCCGGAGACGTCGACAGCCCCGCAGCAGCAGCAGCAGCAGCAGACGCCCCCCGGGGTCCCGCCGTTAACGCCGCCGCCGCCAGCGCCCACCGCGACGACGAAGACGCCGCCGCCATCTTGGGGTCGCCCGGGCAGACCGCGCCGGCCGAGCCCAGAGCCAGCAGCGAGAGCGAGCCGCTCGATTCGCTCCGGCCTCGGCTTTCCAGGAGGACGGGGGGGGAGGAGGAGGAGGAGGCGTGACGTCACGCCGAGAGGGGCGTTTCCTTCTCCTGCCGCCGCGGCTCTTCTTCTTCTTATTCTTCTTCCATCACTCGAGGAAGACGGAGGGAAGGAGGCGGGCGAAGGGTGGTTGTTGTTGTTTAGTCGTGTCCTGCCTCAGCTTCAGGATCTGTCCTTCCAGTGAGCACTCAGGGCTGATTTCCTTCAGAATGGAGAGGTTTGATCTTCTTGCAGTCCATGGGACTCTCAAGAGTCTCCTCCAGCACCAGAATTCAAAAGCATCCATTCTTTGGCAATCAGCCTTCTTTATGGTCCAGCTCTCACTTCCATACATCACCACTGGGAAAACCATAGCTTGAACTATACGGATGGGGGGAATAACAGGTGTCAGTAATAAATCACACTGATAGGTAGCCGTGTTGGTCTGCCATAGTCAAAACAAAAAAATTGCAGTGTATCTGAAGAAGTGTGCATGCACACGAAAGCTCATACCAAGAACTAACTTAGTTGGTCTTTAAGGTGCTACTGGAAGGAATTTTTTTGAAATCACACTGAGTAAGTGAAGTTAAAACGAGGTCTGCCCAGAGTGATTGAGAAATGTGGTGTGCTCAGAACAGTCAGCAAGGAAACAGGAAGAAGATTGAACTTCTGGAGAAGGCTGTTGTTGTTGTTTAGTCGTTTAGTCTTGTCCGACTCTTCGTGACCCCATGGACCAGAGCACGCCAGGCACTCCTGTCTTCCACTGCCTCCCACAGTTTGGTCAATCTCATGCTGGTAGCTTCGAGAACACTGTCCCACCATCTCGTCCTCTGTCGTCCCCTTCTCCTTGTGCCCTCCATCTTTCCCAACATCATAGTCTTTTCCATGGAGTCTTCTCTTCTCATGAGGTGTCCAAAGTATTGGAGCCTCAGCTTCAGGAACTGTCCTTCCAGTGAGCACTCAGGGCTGATTTCCTTCAGAATGGATAGGTTTGATCTTCTTGCAGACCATGGGATTCTCAAGAGTCTCCTCCAGCACCATAACTCAAAAGCATCCATAATTCAAAAGCATCCATTCTTCGGCAATCAGCCTTCTTTATGGTCCAGCTCTCACTTCCATACATCACTACTGGGAAAACCATAGCTTTAACTATATGGATGGGGGGGAATAACAGGTGTCAGTAATAAATCACACTGAGTAAGTGAAGTTAACTCTTTATTAGAAGAAACAAGGTCTGCCCAGGGGTGCCAGGCCTAAGGAGCATGGCGACTCTTCTCAGTAGGACTTGCAGTTGTAGAGGCTGAAGGTCCCTGCCTTCCAACAGCTGCCTAAATCTTCACTGGGTTCCTCCCAAGTAATCTGAGACTATGCCAACGCGCCTGTCTCTGCTCCTCCCTCTTCATACCTTCTTCCCTTGGCGGTTCGCCAGCTGGTGCCTCCCACCATTTCTCAGCATTTAGCCAGACCATGACAACAGTTTGGGATCAGAATGTTTCCCTTTCACCTCTCAGGTAAGCTGGTCTATCCTTCTGGCCTTAGCACTGAGCTCTGTAACCTGCTGTCTGGGCTGCAGCATTTCAGCTGGCAGTGAATGCTTACCCCCGTTAAAAATGGCGTTCTACATTTTTTTAAAAATGGCATGTCGGGAGTTAAGTCTAGGCTTGCACCCTTCTTGATATGCTAATTTTCAGCCATGCAAGGGTCCAAGTGGTATAGCCTACCAGGGGTCAGCAAACTTTTTCCACAGGGGGCCGGTCCACTGTCCCTCAGACCTTGTGGGGGGCCGGACTATATTTTTTCGGGGGGTGAGAATGAATTCCTATGCCCTACAAATAACCCAGAGATGCATTTTAAATAAAAGCACACATTCTACTCGCGTAAAAACACCAGGCAGGCCCCACAAATAACCCAGAGGTGCATTTTAAATAAAAGGACACATTCTACTCATGTAAAAACACACTGATTCCTGGACCGTCCGCGGGCCGGATTGAGAAGGCAATTGGGCCGGATCCGGCCCTCAGGCCTTAGTTTGCCTACCCATGACCTAGACTAGTGGTGTGCTGTGGAATTAACTAGGAGTAAGAAGCAGAGGGGCACTGGAGTTGTAAATGACTATCTTGACTTCAAAAAGTTCGCTTCACTGGATCAAACTAATCAATTTTGTTGAATTAATTAACCTGAATAGTTTTAACTGGATTTTGAATAAATATGCAATTAGTTTTTACTGTTTTGGATTTTATTGTTCTCTTCCTAAGTGGATCTTGCCAACTACTTTTCTGGAATGATGTTTTTTATAGGGTAGGGTGTACTGGGGGTGAGTTTATGGAACCAAGGGGGTGGTACCCCCATACATGTGGGAACCAGTGGCCTAAACCCAGGTTTATCACCTCCATGGATAGCTTAGGTATTTGTTACGGAGGCAGCTATAAGAGAGTTGCCAAGATGGGACTAATTGCCTCTTCAGAGTATCAATTTGCCTGCTGCTGTCCTCAATTAAAACCCAATTGTGAGAGATGACATTTTTCCCAGGCTTGCCCTAAACTTGGATTCAAAATGTAATGCAGACTAGAAGGTAATTGTTCCAGTCCAAGCATGCTTTAAAATGGGACAAATGCCCAGCTTTATAGTTGGCATGGTAAAAAAGCAAATTCCCGACAGATATGGGTAGCTAATGCAGGAAGGGGGGAGTTTTGGCTAACTTCTGCCCCTTTTTAAATATTAGAGGGAAAAATATATATAATCCTTCATGGAAAATTAAGGCTGCTTCTTCAAGAGGGAATTGGATCCTCTTAGTGCCCAAACTATCCAGCAGTGAGTGTGGCTGCTGCTTGCTGCTCTCACATGCATATGGAAGAGAAGAATCTCCTTTAAAACTCTCCTTGTGCTCTTGTAATTAAAAGCCATTTTGTTTCTTTTAGCTTTGGGGCTGCAAAGACGTGTTTTATATCATCTGAATGTTATGTAACCTGCAAAGGTACAGTACCAGTGTTCTATGTGGTGCAGTGGTTAGAGTGTTGGACTAGGACCTGGGAGACCAGGGTTTGAATCCTCACCCTGCCATGAAGCTGGGGGCTTCATGGAGCTCAAGGAGGGGAGAACCTCCTTGAGCTCCTTGGAGCCAAAGTTGGTATATAAATGTACTCTGGTTGAGCCATATTAAAGTGAGAAGGTGCCATCGGTATACCTGACGACCATCTTGGCTGCGAGTCCTGGAAGACCTACCATTCTGTGGTTCTATTATTCTAAATTGGTGGCCATCAATGCCTCTTGTGTCAGTGAGTTCCAGAGCTTAGCTATGATCAGACAACAGCAGCATCCATAGAGTTGGAAAGGACCTTGAGGTTCATGGAGCCCAAGCCCCTGCAATTCGTAAGGTTAAAAAAAGAGACCCCTGGATGGTTAAGTCCAGTCAAAGGCGACTAAGGAGTCGCAATTTGTAGTGCTTTACATAGACCTAAGGCACAATGGGGATGCGGGTGGCGCTGTGGTCTAAACCACTGAGCCTCTTGGGCTTGCCGATCAGAAGGTTGGCGGTTCAAATCTCCGCGACGGAGTGAGCTCTCGTTGCTCAGTCCCAGCTCCTGCCAACCTAGCAGTTCAAAAGCACACAGTGCGAGTAGATAAATAGGTACCACTGCGGCGGGAAGGTAAACGGCGTTTCCGTGTGCTGCTCTGGTTTTGCCAGAAGCAACTTAGTCCTGCTGGCCACATTACCCGGAAAAACTGTCTGCGGACAAACGTCGGCTCCCTCGGCCAGTAAAGCAAGATGAGCGCCGCAACCCCAGAGTCGTTCGCGACTGGACTTAACTGTCAGGGGTCCTTTACATTTTTAAGACACAATGAGATTCAAAGGAGTCCACTGATCCGCAGCAGAGACAGGACAGCAACCCCAAATAAAAGCATTTTGGGAAGTTTTTAATGTTTAATGTTTTGTTATGATTTCCTATATGCTTGAAGCTGCCCAGGTGGATGGCTAGGGTACAAATAATAAAATTGTTGTTGCTACTGGACATAAATAATAAATAATAATTTTTTATTTATACCCCGCCCTTCCCAGTTCAGAAAACCAGGGTCAGGGCAGCTAACAACAAATTTAAAACACTTAATTGATGCAGCGAAGACAGGAGTGCCTGGCGTACTCTGGCCCATGGGGTCATGAAGAGTCGGACACGACTAAACAACAACAAAATTGATGCAACAAAAAAGAGCATAAAATACAGTATAAAATGTGAATGATAAAATTGTTGCTTTTGTTGGGTATAAATAACAAAATTGTTGTTGGTTGTGTTGTAAAGAAAAATTGCCCTTTTGCCTTATGGGGTATCCAAGAGCCCATATAGAGTCCTTACATAGGTTCCCTATTGTTAGGAGAGAATAACAGAGGCCAACCAGAGAATATTGAGAAGCAAAGCAGCTAGGAAGCTTGATCTTTATTGATCTGTTGCAACAGGGTGCTCCCCTCACCTACACGAGAGGAGGAACCCAGAAAAATGGCGCTCAAGGCCTTATAAAGACTTTTGAAATTGCCACTCTGTAGATCAAGACCACCCCCAGAAACATCATACATACATCACAGACGGGGTGTAACCTAAGACCCACCCCTCAGATACATAACAGATAAGGCGGTCTAAAAACAGAAATTTGAATGTTTTTCTCCTGTTGTTGTTTATCTCCTGTCTGGCAGGTTACTTGATTGGATTGCCTGGCCAGTCTTTTGTAGTGATAAATACTTAGTCCCTGGGCCAGGTCACAGGCTCACACCCTACTCATATCTTAAATGTGACAGGATTTGTGAGGAAAGAGACAATGGGGAGGTTTCCCACTTTGACCTTGCAGAGAAAACATTTGCTCAGTTTAGGAATCAAAATGGTTCCAGGTCGGTCTTCCTGTGCTGATCTATGTACGTGCTTGGTTGGTACGCTTATGAA